TCCTGGGTTCAAGCGATTCTCCTGCCTCAGCCTCCTGAGTAGCTGCGATTACAGGTGCCCGCCACCATGCCCAGCTAATTTTTGTATTTTTAGTAGACAGGTTTTGCCATGTTGGCCAAGCTGCTCTTGAACTCCTGGCCTTGGGTGATCCACCCACCTTGGCCTCCCAAAGTGCTGGGATTACAGGTGTGAGCCACCACGCCCAGCACCATGTACTCTTTTTGTAACTTCTTAGGAATCTATAGTCTCTTAGAAATAAAAATAATCAGTTGGGTGCTGTGGACCATGCCTGTAATCCAGGCACTTTGGGAGGCCGAGGCGGGTGGATCATTTGAAGTCAGGACTTTGAGACCAGCCTGGCCAACATGGCAAAACCCGGTCTCTGCTAAAAATACAAAAATCAGCCGGATGTGGTGTCGGGCGTCTGTAATCCCAGCTACTCAGGAGGCTGAGGCACGAGAAATGCTTGAACCCAGGAGACAGAGGTTACAGTGAGCTGAGATCATACCACTGCACTCCAGCCTGGGCCACAGAAGAGACTGTCTCAAAATATAAATTAAATAAATAAATAAATAAATAAATAAATAAATAAAAGGCAAGATCTATCTAGAAGATTAAAATATTATGAAATATGTTTTGTGACCATAACAGAAATCAGTAATACAAAGATAACTCCAAAAAAACAAAAACCCTTGGCTGGGTGCGGTGCCTCATGCCTGTAATCCCAGCACTTTGAGGCCAAGGTGGGTGGATCACCTGATGAGGTCAGGAGTTCGAGACCAGCCTGACCAACAGGGTAAAACCCCATCTCTACTAAAAATACAAATATTAGCTGGGCGTGGTGGCAGGTGCCTGTAATCCCAGCTACTAGGGAGGCTGAGGCAGGAGAATCACTTGAATCCAGGAGGCAGAGGTTGCAGTGAGCTGAGGCTGTGCCATTGCACTCCAGCCTGGGCAAAAAGAGCAAAACTCTGTCTCAGAAAAAAAAAAAAAAAAAAGAAACCCACAAGTATTTGGAAAGTAAATAACCCAGAAGTCGAAGAAGAAATCAAAAGAGAAAGTATAAACTACGTAAAACTCAATGAAAAAAATTAACATATCAAAGTACATGACATGAGATAAAGTAATGCTTAGAAAGACATTGATAGATTTTTAAATGCTTAATTAGAAAAGAGGAAAAGGAAGATTGGGGAGACGGTAGTCAAAGGATACAAATTTCGGTTAGGCGGGAGGAATAAGTTCAGGAGATCTATTGCACAATATGGTGACTACGGTTTTTTGTTGTTGTTGTTGTTGTTTGTTTGAGATGTAGTTTCTCTGTGTCACCCAGGCTGGAGTGCAGTGGCACCATCTCGGCTCACTGCAACCTCCATCTCCCGGGTTCAAGCCATCCTCCCACCTCAGCCTCCCAATTAGCTGGGCGACCATGTTGCCCCACACAAAACCTGGCTAATTTTTTTTAAATTTTCTTATTAGAACAGGGTATCTCCACTATGCTTGCTCAGGCTGGTCTTGAAACTCCGGGCTCAAGCCGATGCCTCGCCCACTTGGCCCTCCCAAGAGTGGTGGGATGACAGGTGTGACCTCACTGAGCCTTGTGGGCCCCGAAAACATCATGTTGTATGACACAAGAGTGAGATCAAATTTTATTTGCTCAGGGAAGGGAGGGAAAGGAGGAGGGATGCGAAAGAAGAAAAAAGGATGAAGAAAAAAAGGAAAGGAAGAAGAAGGAGAGCGATTGAATAATGATGCTTCTACCTTAAAAAAAATAGAAATCAAGGCCTGGGCACGGTGGGCTCATGCCCTGCCTAATCCCCAGCACTTTGGAGGCCGGGAGGTTGGGATGGATACCTGAGGTCCCGGGTTTGAGCCGCGTATCCCGCCAACATGGGAGAAAACTTTGTCTCACTAAGATCAATTAGCTGGGGCATTGGTGGTGCCGAATGCCTCGCTCATCCCAACTTCTCAGGTTGAGGCTGGGCAGGAGATTGCTTGAACCAGGGAGGCGGGAGGTTGTTGGGTGCAGCCGAAGAACTGCGCCATTGCATCGCAGGCCTGAGTAACAAGAGCAGAACTCCAGCTAACAAAAAAAAAAAATTATGCACTGAAAAACATCAGCTCACAAAAGCTACATTGTGTATTTCCAAGTGGGAAAAGTACAAAGAGTAGGTCGTTTGAATAGGACAGATTAGTGTCTGCTTAGGCTGGAAAGCTGACTAAGGAGTTGGATATTAACTACAAATGAGCGATGAGGTTTCTTGTATATAAAATATGGATTGTGCTGAGATACAGCATCTTTACTACTTGTTTTAACTTTTTTTTTTTTTTTTTTTACTGCAGTCATTGTCTGTCTCGTGGCTGAGTGCAAGAAGGGGTTGATCTCAGGGCACACTTCAACCTCTGCTCTTGGGCTTCAGTGTTTCGTTTCCTGAGCGCCTCCAAGTAGCTGGGATTATAGGTGCGCCACACACCCAGTTACAGTTTTGTCTTTATAGAGAGGGGTTTCTCCATGTTGGGGCCAGCGGTCGTCGAATACTGACGTCAACATGAACTTCGGACTCCCAAGCACTGGGATTACAAGGATGATGAGCCACCTCACCCGGGCAACTGATTTATTCTTATTTTTTTTTTTTGAGACGGGAGTCGTCGTTTGTCACCCCGGCTGGAGTGCAGTGGCCGGATCTCGGGCTCACGTGCAAGCTCCGCACTCGCGTGGTTCAGGCCTTCTCGGACGTAGCCTCAGCCTCCTGAGTAGCTGGGATACAGTGCGGCCGCACCCGCACCGGCTGCTTTTGATATTTGTTTTATAGAGGTGGGGTTTCACCGTGTTAGCCGGATGTCGTGATCTCCTGACCTTGTGATCCATCCGTCTTGGGCCTCCCAAAGTGCTGGATGCAGGCTTGAGCCCTGTGCCCAAGGCTTTGTTTGTTTTTTTTTTTAATGGAATTTAGGCTCTCTTCATTAGGCTCAAGTGCAGAGGTTTACAATCATGAGCCAGCTGCACGCTTGAACACCTAGTTCAGGCGTCCTCCCAACCTGCTGTGTCCCGAACTGCTGTGTTTGAGCCATCCTACGAGCCCCATCAGCTGTTTTTTTGTTTTGTTTTGTTTTTTTTTTTTATTTTTTTGAGACGGGCGGTCCGTCACCTCTGGTCGCCTCAGGCTGGAGTGCAGTGGCTGGTGATCTCCTGTCACTGCAAGCTCGCTCCCGCGGTTTACGCCATTCTCCTGGCTAGCTCCCGAGTTAGCTGGGACGTACAGGCTGCTCGCCAGCCCTTCGGCACCGGCTGTTTTTTTTATACTTTTTAGTAAGCGGGGTTTCATCCATGTTGGCCCAGATTGGTCTCATTCGACTGTGTTGATCGCCCGTCTCGGCCTCCCAAAGTGCTAGGATTACAGGCTTGAGCCACCGCGCCCGGCCAAACTGAGGCTCTTATATGTTTAATTAAATGCCTACAGGGCAGTGGCAGTGGCTCACGCCTGTAATCCCAGCACTTTGGGAGGATGGGGCAGGAGGATGGCTTGAGGCCAACCTGGTCAACATAGTGAGACTCTGTCTTTACTAAACAAATAAAATTAAAATATTAGCTGGGTGTGGTGGCGTGAGCCTGTAGTCCCAGGTGCTCAGAAGGCTGAGGCAGGAGGATCACTTGGGCTAGGAAGTAGAGGCTGCAGTGAGCTATGATCGTGCCACTGCACTCCAGCCTGGGCGACAGAGCAAGACCCTGTCTCTAAAAAATAAACAATAAATGCCTATGGACTGCACAATACTGTTGATTCCTCAATTCCTCTCTTGCTCTTTTGCATATTGGCAACAGAAAAAGTGTCATTTTCGGGCTGGGCACGGTGGCTCATGCCTGTAATCCCAGCCCTTTCGGAGGCTGAGGCAGGTGGATCACTTGAGGTCAGGAGTCGGAGACCAGCCTGGCCAACATGATGAAACCCTGTCTCTACTAAAAATACAGAAATTAGCTGGGTATGGTGGTGGTTGGAGGGGGAGGGCATCTGTAATCCCAGCTACTCAGGAGCCTGAGGCAGGAGAATAAATTGCTTGAACCTGGGAGGCGGAGGTTGTAGTGAGCTGAGATCGCGCCATTGCACTCTAGCCTGGGCGACAGAGCAAGACTCTGACTGAAAAAAAAAAAAAGAAATAAAATAAAATAAAATGTCATTTTCAGAGGGCAAAGTGAGGAGGGTGCACCCTCAGGACATTCTTGCCTCAGCTTGGGGAAAGAGAGTTTAAGCAATTCCCCAGAAAGGCACAGGAACCTCAGCCCAGAGAGGGGCAGCTTCCTGCCTCGGGTAGCACAGCCTTGGGCTCCAAGAGTCCCTCGTCTCTCCCTCCCCAAGTTCAAATGTGCATGCGTGAGGTTTCAAACCCAGCCCCAACGCTAACCCCTGGCTGCCTCCTCTTTCTGACTTCTCAGGGAAAAAAAACAACCACCACCACATACACACAAAAATCCCGCAAGTCAGGAAACATCCATCACGGGCTGTCCAGCCCAGGCCGGAGGGGCAGGGGTCAACAGGGAGGTGACCTCAAGGTCTCCGTGGGGACCAGGATCCGGCGGGGCTGGGGGTGAGAGGCTGGAAATTTTCCCACCCTGAGACTTTCCTGCGTCAACCCAGGAGGGCGCCCTGGATGCCGCCAGCCCTGCCCCCAACCTCCTTCCTCTCCTGACGGGGCAGCTTCCCGGCTAAGGATGGATGGGGAGGGCGCGCCAAGATGGAGCCACCAGGACCAGGAATGGACAGGCACTTTGAGACTGACCAGATGAGGGACCCTGGCTCAGAGTGGCCAAGGCCTGGCCTCAGAGCCACACAGCCGGGAGGTGTACATGGGTTGGCGTTGCTCCCGGCACACGCAGCCTCCCTCTGCCTCCACTGCCCTGCCCAGGAGCTGGAGCCCAGCCCGGCCTTGGGCGTGTGAGAAGCCACTGGCCCGGGGCCCTGCTCCCCCAGTCCTTCCTCCCCTCAACACACTCAGGACTCAGCCCTTCCTTGTGTTAAATAGAAACCTCTTTATTCTAAGTATCGAACGTTCCTTAATACATTGGATTGGGGCCAGACCTTGAGGTGGGGGAAAGGGGCGGGGGAGCTGGGATATTTCTGTAGAGACTTCCAGAACGCCACTCACCACTCTGGGCTATGGCAGGAGGGGAGGTGCTGGGAACAGGCTTCACGGCCTTGGGAAAGTCCTTTGTCTCTTTGGCCTCTGTTTCCCCCACCTGTTTTTTTTTTTTTTTTTTTGAGAAAGGGTCTTGCTTTGTTGCCCAGGCTGGAGTGTAGTGGCACAATCATAGCTCACTGCAGCCTCAAACTCCAGCGATCCTCCAACTTCAGCCTCCCCAATAGCTGGGACTATAGGCACACACCACCATGCCCAGCTAATTTTTTATTTTTTGTAGAGATAGGGGGCAGGTCTCACTATGTTGCCCAGGCTGGTCTTGAACTCCTGGACTCAAGCAATCCTCCGGCCTCAGCCTCCTAAAGTGTTGAGATTACAGGCATGAGCCACCGTGCCTGGCCTTCATTTCCCTTCTGTACAGGGAGTTTGGGGTTGAGTGAGAAGACATCTAAGGGTCTTTCTATCCCAGGGGTGTGTGATCCCAGGCAGGGAGTCAGGAGAGGCGCCGTACGGGAGGTTGGCTTGTCAGCAGCATAGATGGGGTCACTAAGGCAGGCGGCTGGGTGACCCTCAGCGCCGGGCCCGAGGCCGCACTAGAGACGGAGGCCGGGGCCGGGGCAGACAGGCCAAACTGGGCCTGGCCAGCCGGGAGAGGGGGAGGCGGCCCAGGAAGAGAGGGAAGCTGAGACAGAAAGATGGGCGGGGCACGGGGATGTCTGCAAAGAAGGCACGGTCCCGAGGGGGCGACAGGGCTCCCTCCTCAGAGAGTTCCAGGTCCCGGGCCACGGCCAGGATCTCCTGGCGGGCGGCTGTGTTGCGCAGGCCACGGATGTCGAGGAGGGCTGCCACGTGCTTCCTCCTGTGGGGAGAGGAACAGACAGGTGTGTGCAGCTCCCCAGCTCTAGACACACACCCAGCCCACCCCCAGACCCCACCTGACCCCCTCACCTGTCCCAGAACCTGCCTGAGTTCTGCCTCTGTGCCCCCTCCACAGCCTTCCATCCAATCAGCTCCCTCGCCCAGGCCCTCACCTCATACCAGGTCCCTCCAGAACTTCACTTCCAACCATCTCCAAATCCCCCTTACAACCACCTCCAGAACCAGCCCTGCAATCTTCCTTTTCACCCCAAGCCTCAGCTCGTGATTAAAATTCACCTTCTCTGCTGGGTGCAGTGGCTCACGCCTGTAATCCCAGCACTTTGGGAGGCCAAGGCGGGTGGATAACCTTAGGTCAGGAGTTCGAGACCAGCCTGGCCAACATGGCGAAACCCTATCTGTACTAAAAATAAATAATAATAATAATAAATAAATAGCTGGGTGTGGTGGCAGGCGCTTATAATCCTAGCTACTCGGGAGTCTGAGGCAAGGGAATCGCTTGAACTTGGGAGGCAAAGGTTGCAGTGAGCTGAGATCGTGCCACTGCAGTCCAGCCCAGGTGATAGAGCGAGACTCCGTTTCAAAAGTAAAAAAAAAAGAGGCTGGGGGCGGTGGCTCACGCCTGCAATCCCAGCACTTTGGGAGGCCGAGGTGGGCGGATCACGAGGTCAGGAGATTGAGACCATCCTGGCCAACACGGTGAAACCCCGTCTCTACTAAAAGTACTAAAATTAGCCGGGCGTGGTGGCGGGTGCCTGTAGTCCCAGCTACTCAGGAGGCTGTGGCAGGAGAACGGCATGAACCCGGGAGGTGGGGCTTGCAGTGAGCCGAGATCGCACCACTGCACTCAGGCCTGGGCAACAAGCAGGACTCCGTCTCAAGAAAAAAAAAAAGAAACCTTGTACCCCACTCCCCCTAAATCCTCAGCCCTAGGCACCTCCTAATCTCCTCAAGCTCAACCCCCTAAACCTAACCCAGCTAGCAAACTCTCAAACTTAGCTACAGATTCAAGTTCTGACTCAGGATCCAATATTCAAGTTCAGAAACTCCATTATCAGCAAGAATGCTAGGACTTCTTGGGACCCCATGGGACTCCAGGAATCTGCGCCTTCCCAAGGACATGACCCTATCCCCCAGAACCAGAACTGACCACCCTGAATCAGTTCCAAGACCCCCACCCTCAGTGCTGAAACTGAAACCCACTCATGCCTCACTCCTTGTTTTTCTGGGGTTCTGTTTCTGAGTATAGAATGTCTGTCTGCCGGAATAGCACTGCAGGGACTGGCAGTGCTCCAGCAGCCACCACCACTGCCACCACCATCCAGCACTGTCACATGGTTGTGTAGTGTGTTGATCTGGTGCACTAGTTTTTTTTTGTTGTTTTTTTTTTGAGACAGAGTCTAGCTCTGTTGGCCAGGCTGGAGTGCAGTGGCACAATCTTGGCTCACTGCAACCTCTGCCTCCCGGGCTTAAGCAATTCTCCTGCCTCAGCCTTCCGAGTAACTGGGATTACAGGCGTGTGCCATCACACCTGGCTAATTTTTGTATTTTTAGTAGAGATGGGGTTTCACCATGTTGGCCAGGCTGGCCTCGAACTCCTGACCTCAGGTAATCCGCCTGCCTCAGCCTCCCAAAGTGCTGGGATTACAGGCATGAGCCACCGTGCCCAGCCAATCTGGTGCACTAGTTTTAGAGCCAGTCTACTGCCTGGGTTCAAGTTCCACCTTTGCCACTTGCTAGGCGTGGTATTTCAATAGCTTTAATTATACCCCTTACAGGCCAAGTGCAGTGGCTCACACCTGCAATCTCAGCACTTTGGGAGGCAGAGGCAGGTGGATCACCTGAGCTCAGGAGTTCAAGACCAGCATGGCCAACTTGGTGAAACCCGCTCTCTACTAAAAATACAAAAATTAGCTGGGTGTGGTGGCACATGCCTATACTTGGGAGGCTGAGGCAGAAGAATCGCTTGAACCCGGGAGACAGAGGTTGCAGTGAGCTGAGATCACTTCATCCTGGGCGACAAAGTGAGATTCTGTCTCAAAAAACAAAGCAAAACAACAACAACAAAATACCCCTTATAAAGTTGGCATGGGCTGGACAACGGTGGCTCATGCTTCCCTGTTTGTAGGAAGCTGAGGCAGGCAGATCACTTGAGCCCAGAAGTTCGAGACCAGCCTGGGCAACATGGTGAAACCCATCTCTACAAAAAAATACAAAAAATTAGCTGGGCATTGTGGTGCGTGCCTGCGGTCCCAGCTACTCAGGAGGCTGAGGTGGGAGGACTGCTCGAGCCCAGGAGGTCAACGCTGCAGTGAACCATGATTGTGCCACTGCACTCCAGCCAGGGAAAGAGAGTAAGACCTTGTCTCCAAAAAAAAAAAAAAAAAAAAAAAGGTTGGCATGTAAGATGCTTATTTAGGTCTGAAATAAGAACTCATTGACTGAGAACTGCAATTGTTACTATAGTCATGGATGATGATGATGATGATGTTGATGATGATAAATTTCCCTAATAACCCTATGACGAGAATACTATTATCCCCATGGAACGGATGAGGAAACTGAGGCTCTGAGAAGGTCACATAGAAAGGAAGTGACCTAGCAGGCGTTGAATGCCGCCTGCGCCTGCCGCTGTCCCAGTGCGTGTGCGCCCGTGTGCCCTGCGTGTCCCTGAGTCCCCCGCGGCTCCCCTGCGGGCCGGCCCTTCCTGCCTCCGGGCAGCCCTGCGCCCCCCTGCCCTGGGCTTCCTGTGACCGCCTGTTTGTTTGTGAGCCCTGGTGGTGGTGGCGGCGGAGGCAGCAGCAGCGGCAGGAGAAGGAGGGAAATCGTATTAATAATGCCCTGGTTCCAACAGGAAACGGCCGTCAGACACGCTCGCCAGCTCCCTCCCTCGCCCAGGAGGCAGGAAACATGGGGACGGATGCCAAGGCCGCCAGGAGACCTCGGCCAGGCACTGCAAAGCCCCGGCCCAGGCGGGGTGTCTCACCTGATGTCTGGGTAGTCGCGCACCAGCACTCCCACCTCCACCTGGATGCTGGGCGTGTCTTCCAGCTGCAGGACTTCAGCCAAATGGGGCACCACGGCGTCCAGCCACAAGGCCTGGGACTCCTGCAGGGGAGGGAGGTCGCAGGGCTCACACCCTCCCAAGATTGACCCTGCCAATTCCTGCCCCCCCCCGGCCTGTTATCCCATCTCTAAAATGTAGCAGAAACCAGGCGTGGTGGCTCAAGCTCGTAATCCCAGCACTTTGGGAGGAGGCTGAGGTGGGCAGATCACTAGAGGTCAGGAGTTCAAGACCAACGTGGCCAACATGGTGAAACCCCATCTCTACTAAAAATACAAAAATTAGCCAGGCGTGGTGGTGCACACCTGTAATCCCAGCTACTCAGGAGGCTGAGGCAGGAGAATCACTTGAAATCGAGAGGCAGAGGTTACGGTGAGCGGACGCTGCACGACTGCACTCCAGCCTGGGCGATGGAGCAAGACTCTGTCTCAAAAATAAAGAATAAAAATCAAAATAGGCTGGGTGCAGTGGCTCACACCTGTAATCCCAGCACTTTGGGAGGCCGAGGTGGGTGGATCACGAGGTCAGGAGATCGAGACCATCCTGGCTAACACGGTGAAACCCCATCTCTACAAAAAATACAAAAAATTAGCTGAGCGTGGTGGCAGGTGCCTGTAGTCCCAGCTATTCGGGAGGCTGAGGCAGGAGAATGGCGTGAACCCGGGAGGCAGAGCTTGCAGTGAGCCGAGATCGCACCACTGCACTCCAGCCTGGCGATACAGCGAGACTCTGTCTCAAAAATAAATAAATTAAATAAATAAAATAATAAAAATAAAAAATAAAATGTAGCAGAAGATATACTGTGGTCACATTTGAGAAAAATCCATAATATAATCTCCTCCCAGTTTTGCAGATAATTTGGAACTCTGGGACACTTCTCCAAACCTCTTCCAAGTTTGCAAAATCTTGCCTTTGGGGGAGTGGAGACTGGATAAAGTGTACAAGGAAGCTTCCTGCATTCTTTCTTACATCTGCATGTGAATCTACAATTATCTCAAAAATTTTCCAAAGAAAACATTCCAAGGACTCCGGGCTTGAGACTCCGGGAAGAGCCACTGAATGAGGCCCTTCCAGCCCAGCTGAATACAACTGGGTACAAATAAGATCTGGCGGTTTTTAATTCCAGGGTTTAGAAATGTTAGGATTTCTGCATTTCTCTTGCATGTATCTTCTCTGTACGTTCATGGAGTCTTTTTTTTTTTTTTTTTTTTTTTTTTTGAGACTGAGTCTCCAGGTTGGAATGCAGTGGCAGGATTTCGGCTCACCGCAACCTCCGCCTCTTAGTTCAAGGGATTCTCCTGCCTCAACCTCCCAAGTAGCTGGGACTACAGGCATGAGCCACCACACCCGGGTAATTTTGGTAATGCAAGGAGTTTTAACTCTGAGCCAGGCACCGTCCTAAGTACTTAACAGGAATTAACCAATCTGATCCTCAAAACAATGGATAGGGACCATTATTCCCCTTAACAGCCAAGGAAAGCGCCCAGAGGCGAGTTCTCAGAGCAAGAAAGCCAGGTTTTAAGTGCAAAGGGTGTGGATCAAAGTTACTGGTTGCTATTGACCAGAAGTTGGCTGAGAGTTTCTGTCCTGAGCCCTGCCCCTCTCCCCCTGGCTTTTGAGACCTGAGATTCTCGGAAGCCAAGCCTTGTCCTGGTTTCTGAAAGCCCCCCAACCGCGTCCCGACACTGACCAGCCGCCGGAACAGCCTCTGCAATTGCGCAGCGTCCTCCCGGAGCCTCCCAGCCACGCGGCTGCGGGTCCGCGCCGAGCTGCAGCGCAGGCGCCCACGGAGCAGGGGCCGCACGTACTCGACCAGCGCCCGCCGGTGCAGCTCGGCCACCAGCGCCTGGAAGCGGAGGAGGGAAACCCGAGGGTTGTGAGCCATGCCCCACTGACTCCCATCCCGCCAGTCTGAAGGCCAGCCCCGCCCCACTCGCCCATATCCACTCAGGCACCCATGGGCACCCTTCCCGTGCCCACGCCCCAGCCCCCAGCCCCTGCACTATCCTAGGATGTCTTCCCTGGCCCCCTAATAAGCCCGCAGACAGCCCCTGCCGGCCTCCAAAGGGTGCTCCCTCCCAGCCTCTCCCTATTCCCCAAGCTCCACTCTCAGGGGCCCTGACTCAGTCTGCACCCCGCCGTACACCCCAGTTCCACGCACACGCCTCCCCGCAGACCCTGGGCAAGGGCCACCTCTTCCATCCATAGGGAGCCGCTCCCCACCTTAGAGGGCTTTCCTCCAGCAGGAGTGTTCTTGCTCTCCCAACCTCCCCTCTTTCCGCCCCTTTCCCCTTTCCTCCTCCCCTCTTCTCCTCCACCCTCACCTCCCCTCCCCTCAGGCAGGCGCACCTGGTAAGGCTCATCCTGCATTCTGCGCAGGGCCAGGGCCTGGGCACCCAGCGTGCCCACGATGCCATCCAGGGCCTCCGGGCTGCTCAGCCACTTCCGGCGCATCAGCTTGTTGAAGTGTGGCTGGCAGGGACAGAGTAGGGGGTAATGGCTCTCCTCCCTCCCACCCTCCTTCTTCACTTAGGAATTTGTTCCTGGAACCCTGCTCCGTGTTGAACCCAAGCTGTGTGGTGCTCGGAACACATGGGGAACAGATAGCCCCAGCCCTGGCATCCTGGGACTCACAGTCCAGAAGGGGAGACAGACTGGTCCCCAGGTAGTGATGACCAAAAGCTGGCAAGGCTGGGACCCGGGAGCCCAGGGGTTTAGGAAGCCCAGAGGGGATGCCTGACTCAGCATAGAGCCTAGGAGGGCTTCCTGGAGGAAGGGACACCAGAACTGATGCCCTGGTGATGACCTTCCTTAGCCAAGGGAGGGATGGGGGAGGGAGTGGCTCAATGGGAGAAAATCGTGAGTGTTAAGACAGTTCAGATTTCAGATGGGCATGCCAGGGAGAGGACCAGCAAAAACGTCAGAGTGGCTGATGAAAATAGGGGACTTCATTTAAAAATTATTAAGGGGTCGGGCGCGGTGGCTCACGCCTGTAGTCCCCGCACTCTGGGAGGCCAAGGTGGGCGGATCACAAGGTCAGGAGATCCAGACCATCCTGGCTAACATGGTGAAACCCCATCTCTACTAAAAATACAAAAAAATTAGCCAGGCATGGTGGTGGGCGCCTGTAGTCCCAGCTACCCGGGAGCCTGAGGCAGGAGAATGGCGTGAATACGGGAGGCAGAGCTTGCAGTGAGCCAAGATGGCGCCACTGCATTCCAGCCTGGGTGACAGAGTAAGACTCAATCTCAAAAAAAAAAAAAAAAATTAAAGGCTGGGCACAGTGGTTCACACCTGTAATCCCAGCACTTTGGGAGGCCGAGGCAGGAGGGTAGCTTGAGCCCAGGAGTTTGAGACCAGCCTGACATTACGAGACCCCTTCTATACAAAACATTTAAAAGTTAGCTGGGACTGGGCGTGGTGGCTCGCGCTTGTAATCCTAGCACTTTGGGAGGCTGCAGCGGGTGGATCACCTGAAGTCAGGAGTTCAACCCTGTCTCTACTAAAATACAAAAATTAGCCGGGTGTGGTGGCGTGCAACTGTAGTTCCAGCTACTCTGGATGCTGAGACAGCAGAATTGCTTGAACCTGGGAGGTGGAGGCTGCAGTGAGCCGAGATCGCACCACTGCACTCCAGCCTGGGTGACAGAGTAAGACTCCATCTCAAAAATAAGTAAATAAATAAAAATAATAAATAAAAATTAGCTAGGTATGGTGTCATGTGCCTGTAGTCCCAGCTACTCAGGAGGCTGAGGTGGGAGGATCGCTTGAGCCCAGGAGTTCAAGGCTGCGGTAAAATATGATCATGATACTGCACTCCAGCCTGGGTAACAGAGGGAGGCCCTGTCTCAAAAAAAAAAAAAAAAAGAAAAAGTAAGAACTTTAAGACATATTTTTAAAATTCATTAACTATGCACAGCCCTTAAGGGGAGGAGGACGAATTGCTTCCACATTCCATTTCCTAGATCTGGTTGAGAAAACAGGTTCCCCATCTGGGGCACTTAGGAAGGAATATAGTAAATGCCTCAGTTAATAACATCCTCCTTTTTGAAAGTTGCCTTTTCTCTCCACCCTTGAGTAGATCCGGTATTTGATGAAACTTGTGAAAGTGGGTGGAACCTGTCTTGCCCCCTCTTTTCTAGAATGCACTGTATATATATGCAACTGTGACTTTCAAGGAAATGTGTTTGCCATTTGCTGATTCTGGGGGAAGTTAATTTCTAACTTCTTTCACTGGTTAATGAAGGAAAGCATTGCACCTTGCAAATGCACCAAATGAATTGAGTTCATCATTTTAAAAACTGTCTTTTGACCAGGCAGACTTGTTGAAAAATTATTAAGGGGCCAGGCATGATGGCTCATGCCTGTAATTCCAGCACTTTGGAAGGCTGAGGTAGGTGGATCATGAGGTCAGGAGTTCAAGACCAGCCTGGCCAACAAGGTGAAACCCTTATCTCTACTAAAAATACAAAAACTTAGCTGAGTGTGATGGCGGGCGCCTGTAATCCCAGCTACTCGGGAGGCTGAGGCAGGAGAATCTCTTGAACCTGGGAGGTGGAGGTTGCAGTGAGCTGAGATTGAGCCACTGCACTCCAGCCTCAGCAACAAGAGAAAAACTCCATCTCAAAAAAAAAAAAAAAAAAATGTTAAGGGCTGGGCACGGTGGCTCATGCCTGTAATCCCAGCCCTTTGGGAGGCTGAGGCTCGAGAATTGCTTGAGCCCAGGGCAGCATAGTGAGACTCCCTCTCTGTAATTTTTTTTTTAAATTAGCTGGGCATGGTGGCCCACACTGTGGTCCTAGCTGCTTAGGAGACTGACGTGAGAGGATCGCGTAAGCCCAGGAGGTTGAGGCTGCAGTGAGCTATGATCATGCAATTGCACTCCAGCCTGGGCGACAGAACAAGATTCTATCTCTAAAAACAAAAACAAAAACAAAAACAAAACTCTTTTTCCCCGTCCAAAACAAAAAATAATAATAACTTTAAGACAGTGACGGAGAGCATTAAACCAAGCTTGGGCCTTTCGAAGTGTGTGTTTTGGGGGTGAGGGCAGCTGTGCGACCCTGAAGCCAGTTTTGAGGCTTATTCCAGGTATAAGACAAGGAGGGGAGAGGTGAGGCTGGGGCAGGCCTGGGGTGCACAGGGCCTCCTGGGCTGGGGGAGAAGCCCCAGCTTTCTCCTGAGGGCAGTAGGGAGTCATGGCCAGTTTTGTGCTGGGGAGGGAGAGGGTCAGATTTGTGCTTTACCAAAATGGGAGGAGGCTGGAACAAAGGGGAAAGCGGAGATAGGGAGGGAATGAAAGAGTGAGGAGGGGGAAGAGGAGAATCCAAGTGGTAGAATTCATAGGATGAAGTGAGTGACCACCGCCCATGGGGAGGGAAAGGAGGTATCTGGAGGAGACCAGAGACCCTGGAGATGGGCAGGCTGTGGGTCTCTCCCTGATACAGGGGCAAGGGGAGGGTTGGGGGAGAGGCTGCAGTCTGGGTGGACACAGGGCATGTGAGGTTCGGAGACATCCCCAGGATGGTATCCACGGAGGGGGGGTCTAATTCCCTCTTCAGCTCAGCCTCAGCACCCCCTCCTGTTCTCTCACCCTGACAGCAGCCCAGTTTTCTTTTATTGTTTGTTTTTGTTTTTGTTTTTAAGGTAGGGTCTCACTGTATTGCCCAGGCTAGTCTCGAACTGCTGAGCTCAAGCGATCCTCCCACCTCAGCCTCCCAAAGTGCTGGGATTACAACAGGTGTGACCCACCATGTCTAGCGTGTTGCTGGGGGTTTTTTGTTTGTTTGTTTCTTTTGAGATAGAGTCTCACTCTGTCACCAGGCTGGGATGCAGCGGCGCCATCTCGGCCCACGGCAAGCTCCGCCTCTCAGTTCAAGCAATTCTCCTGCCTCAGCCTCCTGAGTAGCTGGGATTTACAGGCACCTGCCACCATGCCCAGCTAGTTTTTGTATTTTTTAGTAGAGAAGGTTCACCGTGTTGCCAGGATGGTCTCGATTCTTGACTTGTGTGATCTGCCCGCCTTGGTCCCAAAGTGCTGGGATTACACGTGTGAGCCACTGCGCCCGGCAGGTGTTTGTTTTTTTCTTTTTTGAGACCAGATCTTGCACTGTCCCAGGCTGGAGTGCAATGGTCGAACACGGCTCACTGCATCCTTGACTTCCTGGGCTCAAGCAATCTTCCCACTTCAGCCTCCCAAGTACCTGGAACCACAGGCATGCACACGTACACCCAGCATTGATGTTTTTTATTTTTGTAGAGATAACGTCCTTACTATGTTGCCCAGGTTGGTCTCCAACTCCTGGCTTAAGCGATCCTCCCGCCTCAGCTCCAAAAGTGCTGGGATTACAGGTGTGAGCCACCGTGCCTGGCCAGCTCTGTTTACTGAACCTTCAAAAATGGAAGCGATGAGGGAACCCACATAATGCCTGGCCCTGGTGATTCTCCCAGGGTCACACCCCTGGCTGATGCTCACACACCACATGCATACTCATGCCAACGGCACACACACCACACACACACGTCCCTCAAAAGCCTAGCAGCCATTCATTACACTCACACAGGCATGCAAAGCCACAGGCACTGTGTCCTATTCTGCTCATGTCTCTAGCTGGTTTCTTTTTTTTCTTTTTTTTTTTTTTTTGAGACAGAGTCTCCCCTTGTTGCCCAGGCTGAAGTACAGGTGGCATGATCTCATCTCACCGCCACCCTCTGCCTCCCCAGGTTCAAGCGATTATCCTGGCCTCAGCTTCCACGAGTAGCTGGGATACAGGCACCTGCCACATGCCCGGTTAATTTTTTGTATTTTTAGTAGAGATGGGGTTTCACCATGTTGGCCAGGCTGGTCTCAAACTCCTGACCTCAAGTGATCTGCCCGCCTTGGCTTCCCAAAGTGCTAAGATTACAGGCGTGAGCCACCATGAGCGGTCTATCTCTAGCTGGTTCTGATGTCTCTCCCTTTGTCCTTCTGTCCCAGTCTCTCTCCTTTCCTTCCTCCCTCACCTATCTTGTTTTCTCAGTCTTTCCCTGTTTCTTTTGCTTCCGCTCTCTCTGTCTCTGTCTCTCTCTCTCTCTCAAAACATACATAGTGGTTTATAAAGCCAGAGACAGTGGCTCATACCTGGTAATCCCAGCTTGGGTGACAGAGCGAGACTGTCTCAAAAACAAAAACAAAAAAGCAAACATACGTAGTGGTTTTTGTTTGTTTTTTGTTTTTTTTTGAGACGGAGTCTCGCTCTGTTGCCCAGGCTGGAGTGCAGTGGCACAATCTTGGCTCACTGCAACGTCCACCTCCCGGGTTCATGCCATTCTCCTGCCTCAGCCTCCCTAGTAGCTGGGACTATAGGCGCCTGCCACCACGCCCAGCTAATTTTTTGTATTTTTAGTAGAGACGGAGTTTCACCGTGTTAGCCAGGATGGTCTCCATCTCCTGACCTCGTGATCCGCCAGTCTCGGCCTCCCAAAGTGCTGGGATTACAGGCGTGAGTCACCATACCCGGCCACACAGTGGTTTATAGATTAAGACTGTAGATTTTCAATGGGCTCTGCCACTTGCTGGTCTCATCTTCCTCACCTGTAAAATGAACCTACAGCCCATCTCGTAGGATTGCGGTGAGAATTAAACGAGCCGATACTCTCAAGCACCTGGCACAGTGAGTCCTGAGAATGTGTTTGCTGTTGCTACGAAGTCTGTACATTTAAGATACAGACTGGGTGTGGTGCCTTACATCTGTAATCCCAACACTTTGGGAGGCCAAGTCAGGAGGATTGCTTGAGCCCAGGAGTTCAAGACCAGCCTGGGCAACATAGTGAGACACTGTCTTTACCAGAAATACAAATAAATAGGGAGGGCACGGTGGTTCATGCCTATAATCCCAGCACTTTGGGAGGCCAAGGTGGGCAGATCATGAGGCCATCCTGGCCGACATGGTGAAACCCCGTCTCTACTAAAAATACGAAAATTAGCTGGGCGTGGTGGCAAACACTATAGCATGGCAGGTGGCAGTAAGTGCTTTGGAGAAAAACAGCAGGAAGTTGGGAGGAGGGTTTCGTCTAGGGGCTTCTGTTTTTTTGTTTTTTGAGAGGGAGTCTCGCTCTGTCACCCAGGTTGGAGTGCAATGGCATGATCTTGGCTCACTGCAACCTCCGCCCCCTGGGTTCAGGCAATTCTCTTGCCTCAACCTCCAGAGTAGCTGGGATTACAGGCGTGTGCCGCCATGCCTGGCTAATTTGTGTAATTTTAGTAGAGACGGGGTTTTGCCATGTTGGCCAGGCTGGTCTCAAATTCCCGACCTCAAGTGATCCGTCCACCTTTGCCTCCCAAAGTGCTGGGATTACAGGCATGAGCCACCGCACCTGGCCCGGGCTTCTGTTTTAAATGGGGCAATCAGAGAAGGTCACACTGAGGTGACATTTGAGTCAAGACTTGAGGCAGGGCGTGGTGGCTCATACCTGTAATCCCAGCACTTTGGGAGGCTGAGCTGGGCAGATCACATGAGGCCAGGAGTTCGAGACCAGCCTGGCCAACATGGTGAAACCCCGTCTCTACTAAAACTACACAAAAATTAGCTCGGCGTGGTGGTGCATGCCTGTAGTTCCAGCTACTAGGGAGGCTGAGGCAGGAAAATTGCTTGAACCTGGGAGGCAGAGGTTGCAGTGAGCTGAGATTGTGCCACTCCACTCCAGCCTGGGCGACACAGGGAGACTCTGTCTCAAAACAAAACAAAACAAAGCAAAACAAAACAAGACTGGAAAGAGGCATGAGAAGGAGCTATGTGGCTGTGAGAGGGAGAGCGTTCCAGGCAGAGGGAAGGACAAGTGCAAAGGCCCTGAGGCAGGAATGTGCCTACTGGGTTAAGAGACAGCAAGGGGGCTAGTGTGGCTGGCATGGGGGTTAGCGGGAGAGTCGGGGAGCGGGCAGAGGGAGGAGATGACGTCTGAGAGAGAGAGAGGGGAGAGGGAAGGGGCTGATTGTGCAGGGCTGTGGGGGCCACGGCGGGATTTTGGCATTTGCTCTGCATGAGCTGGGAGTTGTGGGAGGATTCTGAGCAAAGGGGAGTGGTTCACTGTATAACATGGGTTGAGCTTGTGTTATGGCCAGGAACACACTCCGCCTGCAGTCTCTCTCCTCAGTGCTCCCACCGACCCCCCACCACATTCACTAACCCACCTTTGCACCAAACCCTTATAGGGCGGGCACGAGGGCCTAGAGATGGGCGTAGGAGGCTCTGGGGTCTAGCAGAGCCTAAGCAGGGATTTGGGGGACCTTAGTGGAGAGGGGCTCCACCCAAACCTCAAGCCCACTCCTGCTGATGGCCCTCTCTTCTCCCCGTCACATCCTCACGTCTTCCTGCACCCTCTCCACCCCACCAACAGGCCAGGCATGGCCCTAACCGCCCCCGCCACCCACCCCTGTGTGCTTCGCAAACACTGAGCTATGGGCTGAAGGGAACTGGAGGATGGTGGTTGGAGGTGGGGAGCACTTCCCTGTCCTGGCAAGGGCCCCAACCCTGGCCTCCCATCTCACTCACCTGCAGCTCCTGGAACAGCAGGTCGGCCACCACACGGTGGCAGAGCCGGGTCACATGGTCCAGAGCACTAGCAGATGCTTCCCGGGCCGGCTCGCTTTCTGGGGGCCCCACCCGGGCCAGGCGCTCGGCCAGAGCTCTGTAGGGATCAACAGAGCCAAAAGTGAGGGACCCCAACATCTCAGCCTAACTGCCTAGACCAGTCTCCCCTTAGGTAGAGCAGAGGGCCACAGGGGTGACAGGTCAGATGGGAGGCTGGGGAAGGTCAGGGACTCTGGAGAGGGGACAGGGGATACTTGACAGGTTGGGGGTGTCTGGGGATTGGGGATGTCTGGGGATGTCAGGGGACTCATGGATATTGGGAGGCTGAGGGATGGATGGCTAGGAGGTCTAGGGTATACTGGGGGAGGTCTTGCTGGGTCTTTGAAGAGGTTCTCATCTCCTGTTTTTAATATCTGAACGGATTCCACTGCCTTAGCCTGCCCAGTCCATTATTTAAATTGGCCCCCAGATAGATGGACCAGTTGGTTCCCCATTTTTTCCCAGGAGAGGAACCCCGCACACATGTCATCATGAGCTTTTGGGCCCTCTAAAGGTGGATTCCCTAGAGATCTGCTGGGTCAAGGTCCCAGTGGTTGTGATTTGGGCAGAAGTGCTCAGGCTGGACTATCTCTGCATTCAGCACAATGGAAAACACAGCGCCACAAGTGATAGGAAATGAAATGGCCCAGATGCGGTGGCCTCACATTGTAATCGCCAGCATTTTGGGAGGCGTGAGGAGCAGTGGAGCATCACTGGAGCCTGGGAGTTCAGCCCATGCCTGGGTAACATAGAGAGACGACCTCACACTCTTTCTTTTTTTTTTTTTTTGAGATGCATCTTGCTCTGTTGTCCCAGGTTTGCAGTGCAGTACGGAATCTTGCTCACTGGCAACCCCAGCCTCAAACACAGATTCAAAGCAAAAATTCTCACTGCATCACAGACCCTCCTGAGTAAGCTGGAAAACAAGCACCTGTCTCATGCCTAAGCTAATTTTCTAAAAGAGATAGGGTTTACGCTAACGTTGAACAGGCGTGGTCAGAATCCTGACCTCAGATGACTGCCCACCCGGCCTCCCAAGAGTGCGGGGATTAGAGTTGGGCAGTAGGTTCATCTCTCTCTCTCTCTTTTTTTTTGAGACGGACTTTCACTCTGTTCAAGGCGCTGAGTTCAGTGGGGCATTGGTATGCACGTTTTGCCCGGGTTCATGCCATTCTCTGCCAGTCCTTCGGATACGGACTACAGCACCCGCCACCGGAGTGCTAATTTTTCGATTTTTTGTTTGTTTGTTTGTTTTGGGGGTTGCCTGTGCCAGCTCGGAGTGCAGTGGGGATTTAGGCTGGTGGCACAATTGGTCTGCCTCAGCCTGAGTAAGCTGGGACTACAGCGCCCACCACCAACGCGGTAGTTTTTTGTATTTTTTTTTTTTTGTTTTTTGTTTTTGTATTTTTTTAGTAAGAGACGGGGTTTCACGGTGTTAGCCAGGATGGTCTCGATCTCCTGACCTTGTGATCCCGCGCGCCTCGCCTCCAAAGTGCTGGATTACAGCTTGGAGCCACCGCGCCCAAGCCATTTTTTCATATTTTTAGTAAGAGATGGGTTTCACCGTGTTAGCCAGGATGGTCTCGCTCTTCCTTACCCATGATCAACCCTGCCTC